ATTTTTCCCACATCTCACTGACTTGGGGATTACATTATTAACCTCACAAGTATGTCTCTCTCCATCGAACTAGAAAGCACTTATTTTCACTTAAGTCGACTTCACATCTCATATCCATTATTTCTGATTCTTGCACAGAATAAAGTCAATGCCAACAATATATGTATTTAGTTAATCGAGATAGAGTTTTGCTCATTTGAGCTTCACATGTAAATGGCGAGACTAATATATATATATATATATATATATATATATATATATATATATATATATATATATATATATATATATATATATATATATATATATATATATATATATATATATATATATATATATATATATATATATATATATATATATATATATATATATATATATATATATATATATATATATATATATATATATATATATATATATATATATATATATATATATATATATATATATAGGCATGCCCGCCCCACAAAAGTCCATAAAAAAATGGGATGGTCATAATTGAGGATGCGGACCTACAACCTAGGCTCGCCCCGCAGAAAAGTGAGGGTGGGACGGGGAAAGCTCACGAATTCATTTGATTCTTTTTAGGATTTTGCCTTCCTCAAACTGTTTGTCTTCTCTCCATCTAGTATATCCTTCTTAATACCGAATCTATTAGTCTTCTCTCTACATGTCCAAAAACCTCGACAATCTCTTTAATATTTTCAATTCTAATTTTATCCTGTCGAGTCTTACCATACATCCACCACAACATCGTCATCTCTGTTACACTTACTTTATTCTCTATTGATTCTTAACTACCAACATTTTGTCTCGTACAAAATCGCAACTTTTACCGCATAGTGATAAAACTCTCCTTTAAATCGAGTGGTACCTTTGCATCACATAAAATACTAGATGCATTTCTCCATTTCAACCATCCAACTTGAATTTGATAGTTTACATTCTCTTTTACTTCAAGAGTAAGTTTTTTTTAACTTACTCCAAATCATAGCCTTTGAATTGAATCTAATTTAATGGTCATTAAGTAAAAAGGCTAATTTAATCATTATGTTAGATTCAATTTAAAGACTATGATTTGGAGTATGTTAAAAAAAATCTCATGGAATAAATTCATCTCTCTCTCTCTCTCTCTCTCTCTCTCTCTCTCTCTCTCTCTCTCTCTCTCTCTCTCTCTCTCTCTCTCTCTCTCTCTCTCTCTCTCTATATATATATATATATATATATATATATATATATATATATATATATATATATATATATATATATATATATATATATATATATATATATATATATATATATATATATATATATATATATATATATATATATATATATATATATATATAATCTTTTAAAATAGCTCCAAAAAACCTCGACAATCTCTTTAATATTTTCAATTCTAATTTTATCTTGTCGAGTCTTATCATACATCCACCGAAACATCGTCATCTCTGCTGCACTTACTTTATTCTCTATTGATTCTTAACTGCCAACATTTTGTCTCGAACAAAATCGCAACTTTTACCGCATACTGATAAAATTCTCCCTTAAATTGAGTGGTACCTTTGCATTACATAAAATACTAGATGCATTTCTCCATTTCAACCATCCAACTTGAATTTGATGATTTACATTCTCTTTTACTTCAAGAGTACGTTTTTTTTAACTTACTCTAAATCATAGCCTTTGAATTGAATCTAATTTAATGGTCATAAGTAAAAAGGCTAATTTAATCATTAGATTAGATTCAATTTAAAGGCTATGATTTGGAGTAAGTTAAAAAAACTTTCTCATGGAATAAGTTGATCTCTCTCTCTCTCTCTCTCTCTCTCTCTCTCTCTCTCTCTCTCTCTCTCTCTCTCTCTCTCTCTCTCTCTCTCTCTCTCTCTCTCTCTCTCTCTCTCTCTCTCTCTATATATATATATATATATATATATATATATATATATATATATATAATATATATATATATTATATATATATATATATATATATATATTCTTTTAAAATAGCTCCACAAATATTTAAAAAGATCAAAACTCTATTTTAATATTCATTGTAAATATGGATGTTAAAAAATAATTATAGTAATAAATTAATAAATTATGTGATACTTTTATATAAATTTGTGTTATAAGAGAATAAATAAAAATGAATTTGTGTTTTTCTATTTCAAATTCAAATTCAAGAAAATTTTGTAAAACAAAATTGATGCGGTTGAATTGCCCTTCTTTTGTAAGAGAAAATTATTTATAAGCTTTCTGCTTATTGGGCTAACAATATGGAGTTTATCGATTTTTATTGGGCCTATCTAAATTTCTGGAAGAAGTACTGGTAGTAATTACTAGCTTTGATGGTGATTTGCTCAACTCAATCCTACTCCATTTATCTCATTATATTCTTTTGAGATAAAGAGACAAGACCTTTTGTTTCATTAATGCATAGTGAAATCTTAGAGTTAAATATTCTAATCTTATTGAAAAATATCAAATTCAACTGTTAAATGAGGTTTTCACGACAAAAGTGATGGTTTATGCAGGAGTAGCAAAAGTCACGTTCTAATTTTTAAAGATCAGTCAACATCAATTAAATATCATGCAAAATTAATGTTCAAAGTTAAAGTTAGAGAGAACTGAGTCATTCATAGAAACAAAATAACAACATAAATTAAAAACATAAACCCTAATCACCTGTAAAGTGAGAGAACTGGTTCAAAGTGTTTTATCACCTATAAACAACAACAATAATCATAAACCCTAAATTCTAACTACGAGTGATAGAATTGACAGTACTATATGAGAACGTTAGAGAAAATTAAACCTTTTTGAAGACCTGTAACGAGAGACTGAAAAATCTAGGAACGAAAGAAGTGATGGAACAAGAGAGTGAAACTATTATGAGAAGGAAGGAAATAAGAGCGAGTGAGAGAAATGAGCAAGGAATTCTGAGCGTGTGAGGTATTACACCTTCCATCACTTAACAAAACACACACATTTAGTAGATGGACGAGTCTGGGTACCCGTGAGCCCGTTTTTGATACCCAGCCCGCTCTTTTAAACTCCTTTTAACTCGAGTTTGATAACCCGTTTGGTTCGTTGGACCTATCCAACCCGCCTAAAGTATTTTCTTTTTCCGATTTGCATCGGGTTAGGCCGGATGTGAGGGTGGTGTCCACCCTAACTTCATATATTTCAATATATAAGTGTGAGAAAGATTTAACTACTTTAATTTCAAAATTGATGTTAAGTTGACTATTAGTTTGCAAACAAATAATTCATTTTAAAATCTAAAGACAATGATAAAAAAATTAATTAAGAAAAAATATACTCTCATCCAATAAAAAAGAAACTTTTTATTTTTATTTTTATTTTCAAATTTTAGAAATTATTTTAAATATTATAATATTATTATATTCGTGTACTAATTTAGAGACGAAAAACTATCACTTTATTTTTGAAATTACCACTCCACAATTTTATTCACAAACTATATAAATATAATATATGATTTTTTAAATTTATCAATTTAACTATAAAGTATTTAAAAATTCTTTTTTATTTTGATTCCTAACACCTTAATTGTAAAGATTAATTATAAGAATTAAAAAAAAAGAGAGAAAATAGAAAATGTTGTAAAATATTTTTATTTATACATTATTAACCAATGAGCAACATATATCCCGTCAAATTACGTATTTATTTTTAAAATATTGATATGATATAACAAATATAAGAATTTTAATTAATTGCATATATAATATTATTTTACAATCGGTCAATACACTACTTTTAAACTCCAATTAAAATTCTAGCAACTAAATAAATTAATAATTATTTTAGAATTTAATTGATATATATCAATATTGTAGATTTTTTTACACTATAGTTAATTACAATGGTTGATTTATTTAAAAGATTTAACTTTTATTTTAATTACTTGAAAAGTAATACAAACAGATAGTTTTGATGTATTGATAATGTAAAATTTTTTACGCTGACAGTGCATAACAATTAATCTCTATTTTTAATATATTGTAAGAATTATTAATTATATTTATATACTTTTAAAATTAATAACATAACTCTGACAAAGTCGATTTTGTCAGTTAAGTACGTTTGGATTTCGGCCAAAGATATATTAGCATAGTTCAGACAAAATTCGAAGACACTTTTGTTTGTTTGGTGGAGGAACAAATTGGACTTTTTGATACAAAGCTACTATCAAGTTGTAGATGATGTTGTTGGTTCTGGTATATAGGTGGAAGACAACATAATTCCGACATCGAACAAGCTTTGGATTAGTAATGCACCAAACAAATTTCTTATATTTGATTGAATGTTGCTATTGAATCGTTTTTCCACTAGAGTTGCTTTGCCTAGTAGAGGAATCATCTTCGGTACTTACAATTTGGTATGCCTATTTTGTTTGGTTTGGATCGAATTCATTGCTCATCTATTTAGCAAGTATAGGAAGGTGTCTCAAGAATGGGACAGGATTTTTTTATGGCCGGACATTTCTTGCTATACTCAGCTGGATGTTTCAAACACATAATTTAGTTGCTTCTTTTCTTCTTTTAACAGATAGAATGAACAAAAAGTTTCGACTTCATGTTTGGTTAGTGGTCTATTGGCTGATTTAAAATGAAATGATTTTTAGTGGTGCTTTTTTTGAGTTGAAGATTTGGTGAGTAGAGCCAAAGTGTTATCTTCGGACTATCTAAAAACAAAGTCAGAGTGGATTTTTTTTTGGTCTAATTTATTGTATTATCTATCTCTTATAAGGGTCGAGTACTCCTAGTACGTACTCTGTCTCATTAATACAATATTTGTTTATAAAAAAAATCACTATGTTTTCAAGTTTACTCTTGCAAAAACTCTGTCCCTCTCGTTGAGATTCTGAAATTCCGACACAAACCCCCCCAAAAAAATCCCTTTTCCAAACGCGCGTTTAACCTAAGCTAAACCTCACTACACTTCTGAACTCCCATTTCCATGGATCCTCCACGCCGAGCACCGCGCACAATAATCGACCCCGTCCCTAAATTCCGTCAAGTCGGTTTCTTCGCTCCCGGAGCCCCACCCGATCGTTCTCTATCGGGTCCACCCGACCCTACTCACTCTTCTCACCCCATCGCCGACACATCCGCTTCTCTTTCACCTGTTATGATACCTCCGCCGCGTCATCTTTCTGATAACCTCGCTATTCACGCTCGGTCCGCCGCGTTGCCTCGCCGTGCCGAGTCGATTACTGTTGGTGGAAGTAACTCTGATGCTCCTGTTTCGCCGGCGCCGTCGTCGTCGTATTCGAGTAGGGTTGTTGTTGGTGGTGACCGAGGGTTTTTTGATGGGAAGGGGAATGATGCTGGGAAGGTTGTCGCGTCTTCGTTTCCGAGAGGTGGATTTGATTTGACGGCTTTGAAGGGGAATGGTGGTGGTGTTCCGGCGAGTGGGTTGACTACTGTTTCTGTTGTTAATGATTCGCTTGGGATTGGGATTCCTGGTGAGAGATTCTTATCTTTGTTGATTTTGATTTTGATAGTAGTCTATGGTTTGGTTTATTTGAATTTGAACTGGTTTTGGCTGTGAAGCACCGGCACCGGAAACACAACATCGACACTGACACGTTGACAGTAGAAATAATTTGAAAAAACAATAAATTAAACTTAATCACAAGGGTCGGTATTAGTTTCGAAGGGTCCGGACACACCTTTTTTTCCAGGGGTGGTGGTGCTACATTTGGATTATCAGTTGTTGAGAATACTAATTGAGGCGAGTTTGGATAAACAATTTAATTGGGGACTTCTTGCTTAAGCGCTTACCACAGTTAGGGCTTATGCATAGACTATTTCAGTGGCAAAAGATAAAATAAAGCCAAAGTGTTTGCATATTTGGTAGAAGTTGTTTTCATAAGCTATCTTGTAGTGCTTGTTGAAATAGATGAAGGCAACTTACGGACATGTCATAAGTTGTTTTGATTAACTCTAATAGTCTTAATAGTCTTGCGCGTGCTTATGCCAATAGATAAGTTCAAATAAATCAATTCAACAAGCCCCTGAATTTGAGTTTCAGCAAGTGTAGGGTGAAATTAGGAAGTGAAAAAATGCATTTTATGAAGATAGTGCATAGAATCAGGTTTGATCTAGAATTCTAGATAGTGCATAGAATCAGGTTTTTGAAAATGTAAATTATTTTGTTTCAGAAAGGGTTTTGTTTGAATATAAGTTCAAAGTTGTATCTGCACTAGCGTGCAGTGTTCGTCTCTATGCTTTTTTACTGTGCTTAGTATATATGTATTAGTTTAACATATTTTGTACTGTTGAGTGCTGATTAGTTAATTTTATATGTAGTTGAAACTTGAAAGTAAATTGGTATTCCCTTTACAGAAGTTTAATATATGTGTGTTTGTCTTTTGCATAAAGAGAAGGGTCTTTGATTTTTAATATATAAATTTTTAACACATTTCGCCACACGTTATCTCCACTTGCTTTGTGTGTGTGTCTTGATTTTATCACCATTTGCAAGTTTAATTGTATGATGATAAAGAATTGGAATCAGCTCGACTTGCTTGTTCAACGTACATGAGGATGTCTTTTAAAGAGAAAAATTGAACTTTGTTGTCTGCTGTCTGTTTTTTTTTCTTCTTCTTATTGGCTTGCATTTGTCTCATTTTTCTTCTTCACCATTAGAAAAAGAAAAAGCAAACAAAGGAGGAGGATCAGCTGGGGAAATGAAAGACCAATCTACTAATTCGAAACAGGAGAAACCAAAACCCACAAAAGCTGAAAGACGTGCACTTCAAGAAGCTCAACGAGCTGCAAAGGCTGCTGCAAAAGGTGTGTATTAGTGTTCCCATATTTGATTTGGAAATGGTAGTGTGTCTGTCTGTGATTCTGCATCTGAGCTCTCCGACTTAAAGGGCTTCTACTGTGGGTATACTGTCCGTGATTATATGCTGATCTTAATAGTTTCTTGCTATTGATACCCAGTTTTTTGTCAGAACTACTTTTAAGTGTTCCCATACTCAAATATTGTGTTTTTTATGGTGCTTACAAACATATAGTTTGGTATTTATGAGCTGTTTCATAGGTAACTTTTCTGCACAACTCATTATGATGATGCTAATAATTTAAAATTTAATAAAATGTGTCTTTAGGCGAAGGAAATAAGGCGTCTGCAACTGCTACTTCGGTGAATGCAAAACCCGCAAAAGCAGTAAAGCCTGCACAGAAAGCTGATAATGCATCAATTGCAGCCACTGAGAAAAAGGGGAGTGATTTCCCCCATGAAAAGGACAGAAAGAAAGATGCCCCTCAACCACGCTTGCAGTATGATGACAAAAGCCGGGTGGAGAAAGCTAAACGTCGTTCTGTAGTGAAACAAACCGAGGCTAGGAACAGAGTTGAGTTGTTCAGGCATTTACCACAATATGAACATGGGAGTCAGCTTCCAGATCTTGAGGCAAAGTTTTTCGATCTTTATCCTGTGCATCCTGCTGTTTATAAGGTACTCTATCATCCTGTCATTTGATGTCAATGCAACTATATACATTTGTTTTTTGATTTTTACAATGCTGTTATTTTCGGGTATATAATAGTAGAGTTGATAACTCATTATAAACATTAGATCCGGAATTTTTAGCTATGTAATCTGGGAGTCAACATTTTCTTATCTTTTTAAAATGTTTTGTATTCATTCATTTGAAGTTATTTGATAAAGCATCAAATACTCTTTAAAATATATGAAAACTTGTGGATTCAATCTACTCAATATGAACTTGAAATTTGACGACTGGATTGATAAATTATAATATTTTAATGAGTTATAAGAATATATTTATGTAATGTGTGTGGCTTTGAGTATTGCAATGTACAACAGTGCCTCTTGCAGTAAGACTCTAAATGGTGTGTTATATAGGCCATTGGTGACATTGTATGTGGATCATTCATAGTTAATAAAAAATTAAACCCTTCGCACAATGATGGAGGCACAATCTTGCCTAAAAGTATACACCATATGCTATGTACGAAGTCATGTTGAATGGCATCCAAATAAAAGATTTTTGTATTTAGTATTCTATATCTTCACAAAGATGCCTCATCAGGAGCTAAATTGTAGTTCAAAGTTAAAACCTTTTCATAATGTTCTAGGGGATAGAACAGTGATCAGGAGTTACGAGTTAGGATCCAGTTCAATATGCTTTATGAACTAGAGCTTTTTCAATATGCTTTCTCAAATCCTAATGATCTTCATTGTGGCTGTCAGGTTGGTTTGCAGTACATATCTGGAGATATATCTGGTGGCAATGATCGTTGTATTGCAATGCTCCAAGCATTTCAAGAGGCCATCAAAGACTACAAGGTTCCACCTGAGAAGAGTCTTGGGAGAGATTTGACAGCAAAAATTGGCAGTTATGTATCATTTCTTATTGAGTGCCGACCTCTGTCAATCAGCATGGGAAATGCAATTAGATTTCTCAAGAGTCAGATAGCCAGGCTACCTTTAACCTTGTCTGAATTAGAAGCAAAAACTTCTCTCCAGTCTGATATTGAGCGTTTTATAAGTGAGAAGATCATACTTGCCAACAAGGTGATAGTCAAGCACGCTGTCACCAAAATAAGAGATGGGGATGTTCTTCTAACATACGGGTCGTCATTGGCAGTTGAAATGATTCTTTTACATGCACACGAATTAGGAAAACAATTTCGTGTTGTGATAGTTGACTCACGTCCAAAGCTTAGAGGCCAACAGTTACTCCGCAGGCTTGTGGAGAAAGGTCTTAACTGTACATACACTCATATAAATGCTGTTTCTTACATAATGCATGAAGTAAGTCGCGTTTTTCTGGGTGCTGAATCGATACTCTCTAACGGAACGGTATATTCAAGAGTGGGGACTGCAAGTGTTGCAATGGTTGCTCATGCATCCCGTGTACCAGTCATAGTATGTTGCGAGGCCTATAAATTTCATGAAAGGGTACAGCTGGATTCAATTTGCTCTAATGAACTTGGTATGTATATTTAACTGTTATAGACGACAAGGCATTGTTTACCATAAACCATTTGCCTTTTACCCCGGTAAGAAGTCATATGTTTTTACTTTTTATAATGACCTTACAGGTGATCCGGATGCCATTTCAAACGTTCAGGGTAGAGTGGATGTCAACCACTTGGATGGTTGGGCCGATATTGAAAATCTGCAACTTCTAAATTTGATGTAAGTATTTATTGATTGGAACGCCACACAAAATTGTTATTTCCCCACTCTAACCCGCAACTCTCTTCAAATTGATGGCAGTTATGATGCAATGCCTTCAGATTACGTTTCAATGATAGTCACAGATTATGGCATGGTACGTGTTGAAATTCTAAGTTATACATTTGCTGCCAAAACATGGCTAAAGTGCATTTGAACCTGGAAACTCATAGTTTGCATTTTATCTAGTTGGGATTTAGATAGTGTACTAGTGCAAAATTATGTCCCACTGTTCTTAGGAAAATGATTTTGAGGATCAGGATAACAGTTTAAACTGCAAAAACTCTAAAAGATTAAAATAAAATATGACATATAAATAATTACCACTCTTAAACTTATTTTATCCTCAGCACCAAACTTTGTGGGTTTAATTTGTTTTGAGACGAGGGAACAGTGGTTACCCGTTTTTGCACACATCTATTATGTTGTTTCAGTAAAAAAACAGCAAAGCCCGTTGTCCCTATGATATACTACTAACACAATACTTGTTTTAAACACTCTCAAAGGGCATCAGATTTATATTATGATGGTTCACATAAATTTTTGATTCATATTCCTACTTTGGCAGGTCCCCCCCACGAGTGTACCTGTAATTGTAAGAGAATATGGGAGAGAACAGGTCTGGATATAAATTATTCAAATGCAAAGGCCTAATAGGAATGGATTGTAAGAGAATATGGGAGAGAACAGGTGTGGCTATAAATTATGCAAAGGCAAAGGCCTGGTAGGAATGGATTGTAAGAGAATATGGAAATGAACAGGTCTGCATATAAATTATGCAACGCGAATGCCTGGTAGGAATAAATTTTGAAATTATTGTAATTCATGTTTATCGATTATTTTCCATATTGGAATTATGCGCCTCTTTGTTAGGAAATTTTAGACATTTCTATATTCAACTGTCCTAGCGAAGAGAGCAAACATTTTGCCTCTCCAGGCAGATTTAGCTATGTATTTTCGTTCACAACAGTTCTTCTTTCTCTTCAATTGTTTTTCAATTTTTGGATAATTTGTCTCACAATTTTGGCTTGTCAAGTTTTAACTATACTTATCTTCATCTCTAGTTCTTGCCCTTTAATTGTGTAAACCATCCCCAAAAAGTGCTGGTGAAGTTATAACTGAAAAATATTATTTTTTGTGATTGATGAAATTAAAAAAAAAAAAGGTTACTTGAAATTTGAATACATTAACCCCAGCATCTAAGTTTTTGGGTGACTAAGCCACATCTAGTTAATGGTATAATTAAGATGCTTTGTTGCTATTTTATTCTTTATTTTGCTTGCTAGGAATGTATATTTGCTAGGTGCCATTCAATTCTCTGTTTTGCTTGTGGGAGATGCAAGCTTACAAGATATATTTCATGATCTTAGAGCTATTTTTAGTCTCTAAAAAATAAAATAGAGTTACCTCACTAGATGTAAGCCTGTGTTTATTCAAATAAGTGAAATTCTATATATTTGCAAATAAAACCTTTCAAATTTGTCTTCACCCAAAAAAACCTTGTGTGCCCAAGGGTATATTGGATTGGAGTAATTTAAAACCGATCACCTATAATTTGAATAAAATCTAACTCTATTACCTCTATAGTTTTAGGATCGATTTTTTATCATTTAAAATTGATCACCTCGAATCCAAATCAAATCAATAAAACTTGACTTCTATCGGATCGAGTAATGAGGTTGTGATTGTTTCAAGGTTTGAAAAAATATTTTTGAGATTAAGCTATGGGAATGCCATATTTTCACATTTGATTCATGTTTTAAAAAATTATTTTAAGATGATTTTTATTTTCAGGAATCTTATTTATATGTGATTTTTCTGATTTTATTTTTTCTACCATTCACATTAATTACATTTATTATTATTATTATTATTATTATTATTATTATTATTATTATTATTATTATTATTATTATTATTATTATTATTATTATTATTATTATTATTATTATTATTATTATTATTATTATTATTATTATTATTATTATTATTATTATTATTATTATTATTATTATTATTATTATTATTATTATTATTATTATTATTATTATTATTATTATTATTATTATTATTATTATTATTATTATTATTATTATTATTATTATTATTATTATTATTATTATTATTATTATTATTATTATTATTATTATTATTATTATTATTATTATTATTATTATTATTATTATTATTATTATTATTATTATTATTATTATTATTATTATTATTATTATTATTATTATTATTATTATTATTATTATTATTATTATTATTATTATTATTATTATTATTATTATTATTATTATTATTATTATTATTATTATTATTATTATTATTATTATTATTATTATTATTATTATTATTATTATTATTATTATTATTATTATTATTATTATTATTATTATTATTATTATTATTATTATTATTATTATTATTATTATTATTATTATTATTATTATTATTATTATTATTATTATTATTATTATTATTATTATTATTATTATTATTATTATTATTATTATTATTATTATTATTATTATTATTATTATTATTATTATTATTATTATTATTATTATTATTATTATTATTATTATTATTATTATTATTATTATTATTATTATTATTATTATTATTATTATTATTATTATTATTATTATTATTATTATTATTATTATTATTATTATTATTATTATTATTATTATTATTATTATTATTATTATTATTATTATTATTATTATTATTATTATTATTATTATTATTATTATTATTATTATTATTATTATTATTATTATTATTATTATTATTATTATTATTATTATTATTATTATTATTATTATTATTATTATTATTATTATTATTATTATTATTATTATTATTATTATTATTATTATTATTATTATTATTATTATTATTATTATTATTATTATTATTATTATTATTATTATTATTATTATTATTATTATTATTATTATTATTATTATTATTATTATTATTATTATTATTATTATTATTATTATTATTATTATTATTATTATTATTATTATTATTATTATTATTATTATTATTATTATTATTATTATTATTATTATTATTATTATTATTATTATTATTATTATTATTATTATTATTATTATTATTATTATTATTATTATTATTATTATTATTATTATTATTATTATTATTATTATTATTATTATTATTATTATTATTATTATTATTATTATTATTATTATTAAATAAGTTCTACTATTCCTAAAAAAAGTTAAATTTTTACTAAGTAGGAATAGAATAATATTCAAGAAATATAATTTTGAATTTTGAAATAAACACATTTGAGTTTTCTTATAATATATTAGTAGTTTTATCTTAAAGGAGAAGTAATTAGTAATAATGTTAGTAGTTTTCTTATAATATATATATTCTTTTTTTTAAAATATAAATGTGTATATATCATTGCAAAAATTTAAAAATATCAATTTGATCAAGCAAAAAGAATGGTTTAATTTGATATAAATTTTATGAATAAAGATTAGAAAAACTTTACCAGCTAGTTGTTTTTAACTGGTTCAGATTTTTTTTTTTTAAATAAATAAAACGCACCACTAATTATGATTGTTCTAACTGGTAATTTTCCCCTCTCCTATTAACATTCAACCTCCACGCATGATGTGACAAGTTATCTACATAAGATATACCATAACTTTTCCACTGGAAAAGAAGATATATTGAATGAAGAAGATATAATCTATACTTAAAAGTAAACATTCGGCTCTGAGAAGAAAATTAAACTTGTGTATATATATGTTCAAGAGTTTGTTCATACAACAATCCGTTACAGCCTAAGAGAATGCATCTTTCAAGTGTGTTCATGTTCTCAATTTTGAATGACTTAATCACTCACTCATTCATTTCCTCTTAAAACATCAGCTTTATTAAAAGTCGGCGTAACGAGACCAAGAATAACAAAGCCACCTAAAGCAACAACCAAAATGCCTAAGAAGTTCACCAGAATTGCTTCATTGGAATATCGCGAAATGACATTGTTGGTTTGAAGGAATGTAGCTTTTTCTAAAAGACCAGTAGTTGTTGTAGCTATAGCCAAAGCATAGATATAGGTACCAAAGAATACATGCCATGGCATTAGTGCAACTCTACTGTTTCTTGACCCTCCTGGATACCAAAATGTTGCAAATCCAGCAGCCAACTACAGAGAGACAAGGAATTCAAATTCTGAAGTTAGAATATGGAAACCAAATAGGTCTTTGTTTTTTTGTCGATGACTAGTTTGGGTCTTTACTTTATGAATAAATGCGATTAGAATGATAAAGATACCTGGATGAAGAAGAGGAGAAGGCATGCAAGGCCTAACCATGAATGCAGGCTGTAGAAATTGTCAATGCCCTTGTCATTGTGAAACTTCCAAGCAGCCCAGAGACCGATTATGCTCAAAATGAGAGCGATAAGCTGTAATGCCAGATGAACTGATTTTTTGAAGTTTTTAGTTCCAGATATCGTCTTGTATGCAAGCATCCCTGCATAATGCCATACCAAATTGATGAAGGAGTCAGCACTAACACCATAAAATCACAAACCAGTTAAAGGATTGCAAAATGCTTTGTAGCACAGAGACTTCTGATCAAAAGTGTGTCTGGTGTCAGATACCAATACATGTGATAACATTCAATTAATTAATTTCAAGTTATTATCGATGTTGACGTGATAGTGTCCGTGTCCAATATCCATGTCTATGCTTCATATATCATTGCAATTAAACAACTTAGATCAATTTCACATAAACTTTAAAGAGCATAAACTCTAAAGAACCATAAAAAGCTTCACCAATGAAATGCAGGGAAAATCTATGGGAATTGAGCAGAGGAAACATTGAGAATCAACAATCAAGAACACTATTAAGTCAGATCAATCCCTATTCAGGCTTCTCATAGTATTGATTGCATTACATACAGTTACAATTACAGTGACGCACCCTTACAAAAGTTATATTTTCTATCCTCCACTATGAATTCCAATTTATTGATCAAACATATTTCCCCTTATAGCACAGTTATTGAGACCCAATCTAATAAACCCTTCATTGCAATAACCCCATTAAAAGTTTCAAAGAGTGGCCGACAAGAACATTCTCAGAGAATTAAAAAGGACAGAACAATTACCTTCACCATTGATTAGAACAAGCCCAATCACCATCAAAACCGGATGAACCTACACAGGATACAAGTGTTTCAACGTTCAAATGCATTTTCTCACATAAAGCTCAAAATACAAAACATACAAAAACATAAGAGCTAAAATATACATTAAAAAAAAACCCCAACAAGACCAAGTGTGTCTTAGTGTGAACGCTTAATAAATATGATATTGTTGAATCCATAGTTTTAAATTGCGATTTTGCGGCCGCAACATTGCAGATGTGGTAGTCTCCACAACTGTATTGTACCGCAATTGCAGTAGTCTCACACATCCTTCCAAATTGAAAACCACATTAGACAACTTCGTCCAGGTTTCTTCAAATATTTACATCAAAATTCAAAATTTAGAATCTCAAAATTCAATTTACTTGAAAAATAAAAATCTTAACATTAAGTGTTATTTATCTGTGTATTTCAAACTCTTCTCAATTAAAATTCACGCCGCAACGGCCACAATGCGCATTGCAGCAAAGATACACATCATTAAGAGGTATTGGTGCTACAGAGTTCACCACATTAATTTTTATATCCTCAAATTTGCATCTAAATAGTTCAAAATCGTGTCTAATTAATAAAAAGTCCAAATCTACTCATGGATTGGTTCTCAATTTTTCTTAAGATACATAAACAAATAAGTTTATAGCCATTAGCCACAAATCCAAAGCTGCAATGAAAGTCAAAATTAACACTAACCAACCATTTTATCATAAACCTCCTAATTCTTACATTTTCAATTCCAACAAAAAAACTGAAAATTGATTAAAAAAAAGAACACCAAAATAAAAGGGATTAGATTAATAAATGAATGGAAAGGAAATGAGTGAAAAGAAAGAGATTGATTACATTGAAGATGAGATCTTTGTTATCGGAAAAGAGAGCGAGACCTCCTCGGAAATGAAGAACCCACGTTAAGAGTAACAGAATGATGAGAACTCCAATCGCTCTAACCGTTGCGAAGATCGGAAATCTGACCACCGGTGGAGTCGCCATTCTAGAGAGAGAATGAGAATGAGGTATTGAGAATGCTATGTCAAGGTATAAGAAGGAAGAGAAAAGTTGAAGAATATAAACAATCTTAATCAAATCAATAAGTTCAGTTGCTTCTCACACTAGAACTACCTTTCTTTTCATTTCATTTCCATTATTCAACTCTCTCTTTTTATAAAATAAATGGAAAAACCATTTTGTTTAAATACAAACATATCTTTAAATTATATAACCTTTTGTCTTTGAAATTTTTGTTTTTTTAGATGTATTTGATTTATTATATAGATTAAATATAATTGTGATATCACCTCATAGACCTCTGCATTAAAGTTTATATATATATATATATATATATATATATATATATATATATATATATATATATATATATATATATATATATATATATATATATATATATATATATATATATATATATATATATATATATATATATATATATATATATATATATATATATATATATATATATATATATATATATATATATATATTCTCACATCTATTATACTCGCAATATATCTTAAAATTTTTGAGAGCCCTTAATCAACAGAGGTTATTATGTATTATACTTTTTATCAAGTACGATTGACATTCACCGTAAAGTCGGATAAAACTGACATGTGCCACCACACCACTTAGCCGGATTGGCGTCCTCGCGTTCAACCCTTCTGACCACTATGGTGAACAAAAAAAACAACAATCCTGATCTTCAAAGAATCTGAAGGCGGAAAAACGCCATAGTAGAGATGTGTGCTGCTATGGACGATCTACGTCGCCAAAATCAAGTTCTCGAGGATGGTGTCTTACTTATCCAGTAGCGTCAACAGTGCATAACCCCTACTAATAAGTAGGAGATACTAGACCCCTAACTTCTTTTGGAGGAGATATGGGAAGCACCTAAATCCATATAACTTTAAACCTCTTTCACTAGCCAAGTTTGATTAGCGCAACAATCTGTATGAACACATTACATCCATTAACACGCAGATGACCATCATTGAAGCCCATGACTTCTTGAAATGGAAGCTCCTATCCGACACCTATAGTGACGCAATCCTAAGATGGTATATGGGCATGCCTCAGCTCTCCATCTCTAAATATCAGCACTTGGTAAAAAGATGGTCCATTAATTTGCAGCGATCACGCATAGAAAGATGTTCGCTATTATGGACTGGACTGACACCTGCCCCACAGTTGGGCAATGCCTAATCTAGTCTAGCTTAAGGTCAGGCCCAATACGACCATATGGCACAATATAACCGTTGGGCACATTGTAGTCGTTGGGCACAATATAGCCGTTGGACACAATATAGCCATTAAAGCACATAGTCGTTGGGGACATGTCCCTCACGTGCTTGACAGTTCACGCGACCAACTGCCTCTCCGAAAGTCACGGAGATAGTTGGACCAGGTCAAAAATCACGCGCTAGATCTTCCACCTAGCAATCCCTCATTGGCCGATCTGATATTTCGGTTACACGGGAGACCTTGGCCCCGCGCTGGGGGGAATCTTATAAATACTCTCTCTCTTGAGAGGGTCAGGTACTCTAATCATTCTTCCTCATACCTAAACACTCGTACTTGCTTTCTCTCTTTAGCTCAAACACTTAGTTTGATATTAGAGTACCTTGTAGGTACAACCCCATCCTCTCCTACAACCATTGTTGTTGCCCTACATTGAAGGCCAAGACGATCCACTTTGATCACTTCAGATCAGTGGCACCGTCTGTGGGAACACCAGCTCCCCCGTCTTTTTGAACCAAGATTTCCCAATCTTCCCGAACAAAAGACCAAAGATACCTCTATGAACCTTCATCGTCATGGTCTCCCACCGTAATGATGTCCAACAAGATTCCCTTGTCGTCGTTCTAGGTTGTAGCGAAACCCCCATTCCCGGAGCTACCACATGAGAAATTGATCACAAGGACAGAAAACCAGCATCTCCTGACAACGTGAAGCCTCGTGCCCAAAGCTCCGACCATGTATACGAACCTATCACCATCCCACAAGATGTTGACCCTTGCACAGCGGCCCTCATCGCCGCCCTCAACAAATCCAACTATTTACTCTTCCAACAAGGAGAAAAAATCCACATGCTGGAAAACACCATCGGAGAACGACCCCCCCCCCCCCCCCCCCCCCGTGGGGATCCATCAGCCCCTCTCGTCGGTCACATTCCCCTCTTTAAAAGCGTCGCCGAGACGAATCTAGAAGCATCTCCCCTTTCAAAGAACGGTCCAAACTGGAGAAGCGTGGACACGAGACCATCTGAAAGTGTGATCGTACCCCCTCGAAAATCCAGACACTCCCTAGTATCCAAAAGGACCCGGCCTTCTTGAAAGCCTCGCGAAGAGCACCGAAGCCGACATGAACGTTCTCCTCAACGCAGTAGGAGCCAGAGACGCATTTATTCGTTCAGCAAGTCGCTCAACATGAGCGGCGAAGACAACGCAAGCGGTCCCCTGTCACAGAAATCATGGACACCTGTATTTCGCGCGGGCTGGAGAAACCTCCCCCTCTAGCTCTCTATGATGGTACCACCGACCCTGGTGACCACATAGAAAACATTGAGGCCATGATGCACTACCACAATGTCCCTGGAGCGATCAAATGCAGGTTATTCTCCACCACCCTCAGGAAAAGGGCTATGACTTGGTACAAGAGCCTTCCTCAGGACTCGATCACGTCATGGAGGAGTCTTAAGGAGCAGTTTTCCTGACACTTTACTACCTCTAGGCACCACCCAAAATCCGAAGCTACGCTTGAGGGTATCATCCAGAGAAGGGATGAACCTCTTCGCAATTACGTCGACAGGTTTACTAAGGAAGCGGTCGAAATCCGCATGATCGACCATATGAAAAAGTATATGCTAGAGAAGGGATTAAGGCCGAAAAGCGACTTTCGCAAGGCAGTGGGACTCAACCCTCCTCGGTCTCTAGCCAAAATTTTGCTCTGGGCACAATCCTATATTCAACACGAAGAAAAGGAAGTCATGTGTAAGGCCAAAGACTCGAGGGACCAAGAGAGTTCCAAAGCATCGAAGAAAGACGAAGTAGAAACTTCCAGGCGAGACAAAGATAGGCGACGAGACGATCGTCCCTGAGATCATAAAGGTCCTGCTGGTCGATTCACCGAATATACCCTGTTGACCGCTCCCTGCGATCGTATTCTGTCCAAATGCATCAACGCTGAATTCAAGCAAGGAGGCGTCTAATTCCCCAAGCCAACAACTTCGAAGAGCAATACTGGCCGAAGCAAATACTGTCGCTTCCGCCGCAACCACGACCATGTAACAGAAGACTGTGTCCACTTGAAAGAAGTCATTGAAATCCTCATCAAAGAGGGCCACCTAAAGTAGTATACAAAGAAAGGAGAAGCCCCTCGAGGAGAAACATCGGAATTTAAGAAAGATACGAGAGCCTCGTCTTCTAGCCCTCCCCCTCTGGTCGCCATGTCTATCTCACGACCAGAGGACTTTTTAATCCCCAGCGGGTTCGAAGGGCCTGTATATTTTTCTACTCACAACCATTGAGATTCCTTCCCTGGTACAATGGTTATTTCCTACGGAGGATACAACAAACTCATAGTAGGATTAGTAAAGAGAAAGTTCGAACAGCTAATCGACTGTAGTCCGGATCGTCTGTCAGCACTTGAGAAATTCCGAGGACGATTCCAGCCAATCACTTTCTACCGAGAAGAGCTCCTCGGAGGCTCCCCCAACTCTCACATCCCTCTTCTTATCAGATCCAGGTTAACCCACACTAACATCCGCCGAGTTCTTATCGATCAGGGTAGTTCGGTGGATATCATGTACACCAGCCTATTCTTAGCCCTCAAACTCAGCCAGAAGAACCTGTCCCCGTATGTAGGGTCAGATCTACAAGGATTTAACGGGGCCACGGCTATACCCTACGGATACGTAAAACTCCAAGTTACGTTCAGAGAAGAGGATGCTGCCAAAATGATTAAGACTTAGTTCTTAGTCGTAGACTGCCCCTCGTTATACCAATGCATCATGGGGAGACCGATACTCGTCGAACTAATTATTGTCCCTTCCACAGTTCACCTTAAGATGAAGTATTATATTGAAAAAGGGCATGTCTCCACTCTGCACGGGGACATCGAGGCCGCCAGACGATGCTTCGAAGCGGCTACTAAAGGGTAAAGTTCAATCAGTGCAGCACCGCAGATTGTCAAATGGGCAAGAGACGAAGATCTTCTCAGCAAAGAAATCCATCCCGGAAAGAAGCCAGTGCTCCAAGTTCATACTATCGACCTTGACAGCCAGATCTCAGAAGAAGACGAAGAAGATATTCCATCCTCAACAGGCAACTCATCCTCCTCGACTATTATACACCTAACATTAGATGGAAAATTTGAGGTGATCACATTCGGGGACGACCCCAACCGAGGAGTCAGGATCGGTGTGGGACTACCTGATAAAGTAAAAGAACAACTAAAAACCTGCTTGAAGAATAACACTGACTTGTTTTCTTGGAGCGTCGCGGACATGCTCGACCTTAGCCCAAAAATTGCTTGCCATCAGCTCACCATTGACCCATCTGCTCGGGCGATAGCACAACGCAGGCGCAAGCAATCCGATGAGATGATGAAGTGGTGAATAAACTTGTAAAAGACCTCTTAGAGGCCAAATTTATCTCGAAAGCCAGGTATACAACCTGGTTGTCCAACATTTTACTAGTCAAAAAACATAATGAAGAATGGAGAATATGCATTGATTACACCAATCTCAATCGGGCTTGCCCGAAAGATGCATACCCCCTGCCTAGCATCGATAAGCTAGTGGATAACTCCTTCGGTTTCAAAATTTTATCCTTCATGGACGCCTATTCGGGATATAACCAGATCCCCATGGCAGAGAAGGACAAGAAGTGCATCACTTTCATGACCTCGTCGGGTAACTATTACTACAATGTAATGCCCTTCGGTCTGAAAAACGCAAAGGTCATGTACCAACA